TCATTACATGGAGGACATGGCCATTGGATCAAACATACTACTAAATTATTATCACACCTTGTATTAAACTACATTATTGAGACTATGGCCCTTAAACAGTGTACACTTTTCCTCAACCATATGTATAGTAGGATGGAAGCAAGGTACGATCTGGTTGGCTTGTAGTCGGTTAGGTTGTGTATTCGTCGCCTGCCACAGCCAAATGTTTCAACACATTTAAAACATTCAGGAGTGGATCTAAATCTCTCGTCGATGTTTAAAACCTAGAAGTACGGATTAAAGAAGTCGGCAGCCGACGGCTAGAAGTCTGGAGGGCTTGTAAGTAAGTTCGAAAGCATTCGGAGCTAGGATGAGAGTTTACGTAGGTAATGTGCTGTTGTGAAGTGTTTAAAAAAATGGTTCGTACATGGTCGTCGCGAAAGATAGGTCTGATTCTGGTCAGACTGCTCCCGACGTACCGCCAACCTTGAGTTAAGGTACGGGAAGGTTGTAAATGTGTAACAGGTTGACTTTCAAAGACCTTATTCTGTACATTGGTGCACATTTGCAATCTTATACGGCTGAGCACTTACCATCATAAGTTGTACTTGAATTTTCTTAGGACATTTGATTGCACCATCAAGATACTGATAACTCAATGTTCCATTTAAACCCCTTTCAACTAGACGCCACGACTGCTGACGCGACAAATCATAAATTAACATCGTGCATCAGATTCCAGTTATAAGCTCAAGCTAAGGATCAGATAAATCTAATTTTTGTCACTCAGCCATAATCTATTGGGGCCCTATATATATCCCGCGAGCCTTGTGTCGGCCTAAAAATGCCAAAATAATGGACTAAAAATACTATCTCCATCTTTTCAACAGGCAAACATAGTGTCTAAGGCAAATGCAAAGAAACTAGTCATTGCGCTGGAACCCGAGAGTGCCTCCCTGTTCTGTCGGGAGCTGCCTGTAAACCAGTTCGCAGGAGAACGAGAAGGAGACGGCAGCGACACGCTGAACATGGCGCCCGGGACACGCTACATGGTCGTCGACTGTGGGGGTAGGTGTTCTTTGACTCTTCCAAAAATACTACTAGTAACTGAAAACTTCATTAAACATGGCAATTAATTTATTATGCAACGTAAAAACGGCACGTGTTCACAACTTGATGCGGTTTTTTCAGAGTAGAATATATATACACTGGGGAGTGGACCTAAATTAGATCTCTCGGTGATGTTTAAAACCTAGAAGTACGGGTTATTTACATTGAAGAGGAAAGAGATTACTGCTTTAAAAGTCGATGACATGTCCATATTAATTAATTCGTGAGAGATTTGGTACAAGGTGGGGATTCAGTCGGACGGAGTCGGCAGCCTGTGGCTAGAAGTCTGGAGGACTATTTTGAAAAAAAAAACACCAAATGTTACCTCACACAAAAATACAAAAAAATGCATTCATCGTTATCGTATTAAGAAAAATCAGTCTCGAAATTTGGTATTTGGTGACCTTTTTTTTTCGGCGCGCGCATTTTGCGAAACCAAATGCAGCCAACAGGAAACGTATACACATTGCTAAAGTGATATATTCGTGTTCTTTTTTTTTCTCAGGTGGAACTGTTGACATCACAGTACACGAGGTTCGACCAGACAACAGAGTCAAAGAGGCCTATGCAGCAACAGGGGGTGCGTGGGGAGGGACGCAGGTTGACGAACAGTTCGTTGCTTTGACAGAAGAAGTATTCGATAAGTCGTTCATTGACGACTACCGCTCGTCCTATCCGTCCGAATGGCAACAGTGGATGGACTCGTTTGAGACAAAAAAACGTTCTACCACTTCCGAATCTGGGTCTGTCAACTTCCCCATTCACTATCACTTCAATGATTTTCACAAGCGTGTGAAGGGTAGTGACGTTAAAGAGTCTATTGATAATTGTGATGTAGAGAGGGTGCGTTTCTCGAATGGGTTTCTTTGCATACAGGGTGAAACGATGCGCGAACTGTTCAAAGACGTGATAGACGATATTCTAGATCACGTAGAAACGCTGATGCGAAAGAAAGGGCTGTCCAATCTAGCATACGTTTTCCTTGTGGGGGGTTTCAGTGAGTCTCCCTTGCTCCAACACGCCTTCAAGAAAAGGTTCTCAAACCATGTCCGTGTTTTGGTACCGAACGATGCTAGTTTGGCAGTGGTTCGGGGGGCCGTGAAGTTTGGCCACACTCCCCACCTGATAAGCGAGCGAATCAGCCCCAGAACGTACGGTGTTGAATGTGTGTCTGCATACAACAGTCGCTTACACAGAGGGGGGAAGTTGTTTCTTGGCCGTTGCATGGACGCTTTTCACAAGTTTGTCGAAGCTGGTGAATCTGTCGTGGTAGGGACTGCCAGAAACCACATTTTTTACCCCCTTTATCCCGACCAAACAAAGGCCAATATAAACGTGTACGGCTCATATGACACTGACACCAACATTACATCCGCCCCAGGGGTAGAAAAGTTGGGGATTACCGTGCTAGACATGCCCGAAACCACCGGGGGTGCAGATAGACAGATAAAAATAACCTTCTATTTTGGCGACACAGAAATCGAAGTCGATGCTGTAGACGTAACTACGGGTTCAAAAGCAAACGTTGAGGTTAATTTTCTGGATGACAATATAAGGCTTTAAGTAAAAAAGTCATGGTGTCACTAAAAAGTTCAAGAGACACATGGGAAAATCCAAATCTCCAAAGATAGCCACAAGTTGTTAAATCCCTTCCTTTTGCCACGCAAGGAGCAAATATTATTGACAAGGGTATATACACAAAAACATCTTCAAGTAAACTACGTACAGGGACGCATCGTGAGTTACCATCGTATTAGAATGGGCATTTCCTAACATTGTAGCTACATTTACGGTGTCATTTTTATTTATGTAACATTTCATGTGCTGCCGTATTGAAATCTTGTTCTTGTGTCATTATGTAATGTTAGAAAGATTCATAATGCTTCTAAATGAGTCAATAAATATGCCACGCAATATTAGATAGTATAGAATATTCAGTTATCGTGCTTTATTTTGTGGTGTTGTTAGATAGATGTAGATTCTATTTCAAATACTGGACATCTATATCAAGATATTCAAACGCGCTTGATAAAATACTTATCTGCTATTTTTTTTCCTGCCATGTTGAGTTTTCTAATGCTTCTCCTCTTTGGTTAAAGACAATGTACGGAATGTATGTTTTAGATGATGTATATGCTTTTTAAAAATTATAGTTATAAGTGAGCGTGAGATCAGCATACAATACGGTGACGTTTGTGTTTTTTAAAAATTATAGTTATAAGTGAGCGTGAGATCAGTATACACTACGGTGACGTTTGTGTTTTTTAAAAATTATAGTTATAAGTGAGCGTGAGATCAGCATACACTACGGTGACGTTTGTGTTTTTTAAAAATTATAGTTATAAGTGAGCGTGAGATCAGTATACACTACGGTGACGTTTGTGTTTTTTAAAAATTATAGTTATAAGTGAGCGTGAGATCAGTATACACTACGATGACGTTTGTGTTTTTTAAAAATTATAGTTATAAGTGAGCGTGAGATCAGTATACACTACGGTGACGTCTGTGGCTTATCAGTGAAGTGAGGCCTACAGTGTTATGAACACTTCGATAATAGAAAATCCATGTTAACTTGCATTAAAAAAATTGCTCGGACAATCTTCTACCTTATTAAAGTTTTTTTTCTTCATAACAATGCATGCATACATTACTTACAATCTAAAAACATAAACAATCATCATTACATCAAGTGTCCAAATCCTGGTTGAAAAAATATTTTACATCATCCCTAAATATGTTGAAAAGTGATAGACCGTTCACATATTTCTTTCCCTTACACCATGTCCTCCGGATCCAGACTGCATATTTTGCTTTGTTCATTGTAGTATTTATGTTTCTAACTGTGTTAGGCTTGTTAGATAAGTATGTTTTGTATCCTTGTATTATGATATCATAACCAATTTTAACATCACAGTGAAAGGATTTCCAGAAAACATTCAACCTACTATATGAAATAAACAAATGCTTATAATCATCAGTGCAGTTGCATAAGTCACAAACATTACAAGTTTTTAGCTATATACGGTGTAGAAGCTTATAGTTCAATTGCGTTTTTCCATATGTTTGGTTATTCCATATGTTTTTCCATATAGGCTTACAATTTGAGTTAATGCCCTCACAAAATATACCAGTTCCCGGTGCTACGTACACAGGTAACTCAAAGAAATGGTGTGTTTTAAAAGAAAGTATACTACAGTCTACGTAACTATACAGAGTATTGAATGGCATAGAAAATATTAGACGTACTCGGGCTCGATTTGTATGACCTGGGCGTCATACGAAATAATACAACTCAATATTACACACAACAGAATGACAGACGTAGAGAAATGTAACGTTGAACGCTGTTTTCATGATAAAATACTTGCTGTCAATTATTTCTCTTCATGGAAACGCCTCTCTATTGTGAATAAATTTAGCGTGAAATTTGGTATGACGAATTGCGTGTGGAATTCCCATGTGAAAACAGCCACCCTTTAGTTCTGAATAGTCAATTTTCTCTGTCTTTTTAGGCCCGGCGTATTCATATTACTCATGCATATTTTACCTGTATTTGGAACTTTGACGGGTCTAATATGTGTTTTGGTCTAATATGTGTTTTGACTATTATTTATTACCTGTAGCCTTTACTAAGCCTTTTCTAAAGGGTTAGGATAGAATTTGGCAAAAAAAAAAAGATTTGACTGGAAATGAGTCCACGGTTAGCGTTTGGTTTCCTCATTGGACCTTCGAGAACAAATGAAATCTACTGAGAACAAAATATCTTGGCTAATTACTAGTATTCTTCCCGTTTTTTTAACCCACCTTGTTAGTCAGTTGAAGATGTATTACATTCAACAAGTACTTCGATGATATTTCTCTTACAACAAAGCCCGTCGTCACAAGTGTACCAAACATACAGGCGCATGCGCTCAGCGCTCCTGTAAATTTATTATTCAGTCAACACAGACGGCGTCTCACCCTAGACACGGCCACATTCCAATATAACAAAGATCCCGTCTTGCTTGTGAAGACTGATGTCTGACAACCTCGATCTCTTAAACGTGCTGCTAGTCGCTGCAATCGACTTTGGCACAACATTTAGTGGATATGGGTTCGCATTTCCGCACTCTAAGGATAATGAAAAAAATGATGACCCGATTTATCTCAACAAGAATTGGGGGCAAAACCTCGGATGTCAATCGTATAAAGCTCCCACTACTGTTCTCTTTGGCCCTGACAAAAAATTCATCGCATTTGGATTCGAGGCGGTGGAGAAGTACGCAACTCTGACGGAAAATGGAGAAGACAAGTCATACTACTTTTTCGAACACTTTAAGATGAGACTACATTCTAACCACTCGGTAAGGATGCCTCTTATATCTGTTAAGATGTAAACACTGAGCAGCATAACCTGTCGAGAGTAAAAAATTCCACAAGTAACTAGTCATAAACATAAACATTACTGTGTATCATGTCCGTTAGGTAACGCATGTACATATTACGTCGATGAAGGTTAGACATCCAGGTAATACGATATGCCAAAAAACAGTTACTCAAGCAACTGCATATGATTTTGAAAACGTCAGACGTTTCAGCTAGAATCCACTAGCTTTCGTCAGTGACTGAGAGACCAGAGGGGAAAGTAGGTTTATATACACAACCTGTTGATTGATATGCAAATAAAGTGAAGACAAATTTTTGGAAGTCATGTACATAAGTCATTTTTGGAACGCATGTTCATATTGTTTGTCTACAATTTTAATAAAGTTTTTCCTCCCACAGGAAATCAGAAGGGACATGCCCCTCGCGGCTAGTAACGGGAAGACTTTGCCTGCGTTGGACGTCTTCTCGAAATCTCTGAAATTCCTTAGCGACCACCTGAGAGAGGCGGTGAAAATTAATACCGGCACAGAAATAGAGGCAAGCAGCATTCGGTGGGTCATCACTGTCCCAGCTATATGGAGCGATGCGGCCAAACACTTCATGAGGGAAGCAGCGTACAAGGTACTTTAGTAGCAAAATACTAGTAGTGTTGAGTTCAAATACGATTTAAGTAATTTATGACCAGAAATGAAATCGGCATCATGTTTGTCTGCTTAACCTTACATATTTGATGAAAACTAGAATTTGGACATGTGCAGATATTAATTTGTATGGCACGTTACCAAAAATGCACTTTTTACCACATCATATAAAAATATCTCCGTGTACCTTAAAATGATAAACAGAACATGTTCATGTGCATGTTATCCATCCACACACCATCTTTTTTGGTTGATATGGCATTTGTGTCCCGGAAAATATGTAGTGTGTGTATACCAATAGAATATGGTTTATCAATTTGAATATAAAAATCACATTGGAACTCAAGGATGCTTTAGATCTAAAGGTTCTGAAACACCTGAAGAAGGTGGCCTGGTGACAGTAGCCAATTTATACAATGGTCGTAATGCTTATAAATGAAGCTGTAAATCATCAGGGCGTAGTGTCTACATACCATGTAAACCATGATTATAGTAAGTGTAGTGTCTATATACCATACATAAGTATAGTAAAGTTGTCCCACATTTAGTTCTGATATGCCATTTAACATTTTTATACACGTACTCATGCCATGTACCCAATAATAAGCTGAAGTGTCCCTACAGTCCAAGTCTACGGCTTTTGAAGTAACCATGTCAAGTTTGAAAGAGCACGGCTTTTAAACGACTTATCGTAATCCAAAGGAAATCAAAGGCATGAATTGTGTATGGTGTCGTTAATACGGCGATTTTCTGTACTGACAGTCAAAAACATGGAACTTAAAGAACTTGCCCAACACGCCTGTACACCCTGATATTTGGAACAGCTGACTTTCCTTCCTATAATCCGACAACTTACATTCTTATCATACCCATGATACCATATATGATTTATATTTACTTCAGGCTGGTATCGCTTCATTGGACCAAAGAAAACACCTACTTATAGCGTTGGAACCAGAAGCAGCCTCTCTGTTCTGCCGACAACTGAATGTTTCTAAATTCAGGGAAGACACGGATAAACCACAATTACTCCAGATGGACCCAGAAAATTGTTACATGGTCGTCGACTGTGGAGGTATTTATGTGTCCTGCGTATTTTCAGGAAATAACGTGCAAAGTAGAGAAACGTATTCACTCGGTTCCCCACTTGTACACATGTATTTATATGTATGACTAGTGGAGCGCACGTGTCTTTGCTTGCAGTTTCACCTTCACCTCAGAATTTCGGTGGTATTTGTATGTTTTATGTATGTATGTCTCTATGTCTATGTGGTTTAGCACAATAACAAACTGTGGATGGGTTGTCATGAAATTCGGTAGATGGGTAGAGAGAAGCACCGCTATACAAATGAAGGAAATGCTCTAATATTACTCTAATGGTAAATGACAGGAATTTTATGACTGC